TGGTCTGCCAGTGGGCTCGGTCCTTTCACTTGTGGGTAACTTGCCTGGTTTTTAAAACATGTGTTTCTGACTGAATGCCTTGCTGGCCAGCGAGTTGTTGTTTTAATGAGATTTATCAAATAAAACCACAGACATAGCCCGTCCTAATTATATACCCTGTCTCACCTCTTCATGTGCTGGTAGATTTGTTTTCTCTTAGTTTATGCCAAATGGAAACAGATGCATTGCCGTCTACTGCAAGGACAGTGGGGAGGTCTCAGAGACATTATCCCCACCCCCCTGCCCCCCTGCTGTCAGGGGTCAAAGCATTCAAATGTTCTGATTAGTGATATTTTTAAAAGCCCTAATTATAGACTTAAGACAGAGGCCTTAGTGGGGCTTTAGGGAGTTTGTGAGAATTAATCTAGGAGCTGAAACAGGCTGTGTTTTCAAAAATTTTTGCATCAATAAAAATACAGTTGGCAGTCATCAGCATCCACCACTCACATAAATCTTGAACTTTTGACTTGATTACCATGGGAGAGTTCAAAGGGCAGGCTGGAGTGGTTGCAATAGCTCTGCTCAGGGAGCTGGAGACGGGTCTGGCCTCAGCCTGGCCTCTGGCTGTGTGACCTTGATCAAATCACTTAACCTTTCTGGGCGACATTGATAACATCAGCCTGTGGGCCAGATGGTCACGGAGTCTCTTTTGGTACAGCCTGGTAACATGATTCCATGTTTTTCCTTTAAATCATTGGGCCGTGTTCTCACTTTTTGGTTCCAGAGAGAGAGTAGATTGTAAACCTTAGGTGTCAGTATTGGGATACATCAGGGCTTTTGTGGGAGCAGGCCTCGTAGTCTATGGTTTCTCATTAAGTTTAAATTGCACAGCCAGAAGAAACCCTATAGTCCTACCATTCATTGACAGGATCAATAGCTGCCGAGCATGTAGATACCTGGAAAGAATGTTAGAACTAGGAGGTGCTGTATAAAGCAACTCCTTCATTATATAGCTAAGGCTTTTAACAGCCATTGGTCCATCTGCCCACCGCCCCCCATCCATCCGTCCGTCTGATAAGTGCTGAGTGCCTGCTCCATGGGCTGAAGATGCCTCTACCTGTACCCTCTGGGTGCCCCACTCTTGTTGGTCAGCAGACGTCAAATGGAATGTTGTTCAGTGCTGAGATACCCTGGTGTCGGAAGCCCATCAGTAATGGACAAGCGGCCCAGGAAAAAATGGTGAATCTTCCCCATGGGATGGTTGGTAAAGAGAGGCTGCACTGGGGTACTTCACGGGAGATTTCTACGGGGTTATAAATCTCTCTTTAACTCACCATATCTTAAGAAACTTCTGCTGTGTTAAAGTAAAATTCTGCTTAGTTAGTATTGTCACTACTATGCGATGACTGTTTTGGTGTAGAAAATGGTAGTAAGTAGGCAGGTGTGCAACACCTTTGATGGAATTTTCATTCATTTATTGTGGCTGGGTCTTACTGTTCCTTTTATCTGCTCATCCTCAGTATTTAATGACTAACAGAACGTTTTTCTTTTGCTACATGTTATATCAGAAGGGACCATGCCTATCATTGAGGTCAACTCGTTTGCTTTACAGGTGATTTAGTACAATTCATTTTTCTTTGCCATCCGAGGTTTATCACACAACTCTCCCTCTATTAATTGACTTTAAACCCGCTCTTCCTAATACCCCAAGGAAGGTATATGGAGTTCAAAACAACCCGATGTGTTCCTGGCTTGCAGATTCATTTGAAATAAGATTTTGAGTAAGCAGCTGTCTTCAGCGTGTACTCCGTGCAGGGGTCATCTCTGCTTTTGTGTGTCTTTAGTTTGTTAAACCAGTTCCTTCTCCAAATGAAAGTTGTTAAAGCTGTCCCTGAGCCTTGATGTAAAGGAGGCATCCTTAGGTTGTAGAGGAGCTCGTCCAAGTACCTGGACTGTGCTTCTCTCCTGTGGCATCGTAGTTCTTTGGAGGCCATGGCCTTTCTGCATGCGTAGAGGACAAAAAGTGGCAGGAAAGACAGAGGACATGAGGCTGCTGATGAAGGAAACAGTAGGGCTCTTCTTAGAGTGTTATTATTTTTCTAGATCTTCCAGTTTCTTCAAGCTTCACATAAAGCTAGTTTATTTCAGGATGAGCCATTGTAAAATAACAAAACAGTCCCTCCCCTCCAGTACCAAGTTCGTTAAAGATAATCATGAGCTGGACATGGCAAAGGGAGACTGTCCTGCCTGTGTTAGCGCTGGGCAGAGTTGGAGCTTGCTCAGACGGGCGGGGTCCTGGGGGAGGGTTGGTGATGAGTTGTGTGGGTGCCCCGCCCACCTGGATCTCTGACGCATTGATGAGAAGCGTTGTGCTCATACCCTGCTGCGTGATTGTGTATCTGTTTTGCAAGAGCAGATTTTATATGTGCAGTTTTGATGATTGGAACCTCATCCTAGGAAAGTGGCTTCCTGCCAGAAATTCCAGCGAAATTCTTTCACCCTAGTCCTTAAATCATTGCTAAGGCACCAAGACAGAGGCGGCGGTGGCCAGTGTGCTGCTGCTGCAGGTCAGGGCTGTACAGGCACACGTGGTCTGGGGCATCCCCGTGTCGTTGCAGCCTTACTGATGGCTAAGTGGAAAAGAAGAACATTCCTGGTTCCTTAAGCTAAATCCTACTTCATGACATTTTAGGGAACATAAAAATCATGCCCAATGGTATATAAGCACATATCTGTTGATTTCTTTTATGTGAAAAAGAAAAGACATTCCCAAAGACCAGCTCAGTGTAATTGAGGCTATCTGAAAAAGTTACTGCATTAATATTTAGCTAATTCATATGAATAGGCTATTGTGTTTACTTAAACAAATGACATGAGTGCAGACACCTGACAGCATGAGGTATGCTTTTCATTTAGGTCAGATTTGTAAAAGTCTTTGTGTAGCCACAAAGCTCATTATTTGTTTTGTGCTCTCAATGGTTTCTTTTCAGTGGCTGTGGCTGTGGATGGATTTTTCTAAGTAGAAGCTTTTAAAATGAAAGATTATTGAAATTGTTTCAGTATGTGCCAGGCCCTGGAAGTCTTGTGATGAATAGGAATCAAGTACCCCCTGGTGAGCCCCCAAAAGAATAGGTGTGCTTATGGGCATGCGACACCCAAGCCGCCTGCTCATTGCAAATGCAGCTGGGGACGCAAAGGAAAGACCACAGCGCCTTGTCCTCTGGCCCTCCCTGCCTACTTTCTCTCTCTGGCATACATGACCCCCAAGTTTTCTGTCTCTTTGCACCGTTTTGGCATTACATAGTTGCCACCTAAATCCCTTGACGCTTAGATATGCACAGGGATAAGGAGGATACTGTATGCACTTGTTAGGAAATCTCAGCTCCACCTTTTATAGCAGGTTTCCAGAGAAAACACAAGGCAGATTGGGGTAGGGGCTTTGGATGCAATGATTCCCATGCCTAATTGTACCAGGGTCTGGCTGCTAAGGGAAGGGGATGGTTACCCCCGCCAGGGGCGTGCTGTGTCACCCATAGAATAGAGCAGACTTCTGAATGTGTGTCAGAGACAAAGTCCCTGTCTAGGACCATTTTGCCTCTGGTTTGTGGTATGTGAGCTGTCGCTCAGTCTAACCCTTATCAGAAATAAGTACAGTTATGTATCGGCAAAGCCCTGTTGATGGATGCTTTCGGGGAATGCAGGGAGTTGGATTTACCAGTTTGCAAAGACAGAAGCATGCACGTGGGAAATTAACTTATATACAAGACTCCATTGCAAGTTCTGGACAGTAGTGAAGGAGGGAGTGTGCCTTTGGCCCAAGTGGGCTCCCCCAGACTCTAGACTCCAACATCAGAGTGATTGAAGGTCTGGATTCCGGATCCCAACCCCTGGAAAAGCTGGCTCTTCCTAACCGTGGGGAGTGGGGTTGAAGACAGTGGGCTCTGGCATGAGACAGATTTGGTTCACATCCTGGCTGTGCTGCTTCCGAGCTTCGTGCCTTTTGGCAGGTTAATTAACTTCTCTGTGCCTCGGTTTACCTACTTGTAAACGGGGATTATGGTAATGCCTTTCTCACCGGGTGGCTGTGAGGATTCATGTGTTAGGCATGTTAGGAGCTGATCAAGCAGTGCTTAGCACAGCAGAAGCAGTCAGGTGGTCGTGGTCATCACCAGTACCAGCAGGGGTGAAATTCACAGTGAGATTCAGACTGATGCTGTGGCTCTTATTTAGATAAAATGCACTTGGCGATTTAAAACCTCACCTCTTTTCTTGAGTTAAAAAAAAATCCCCTTGTATTTATGACTTCAAGGGCCATTTACAGGGTACAACTTTACATGACATTTAATTGCTGGCCTCCTATCAAGTTATCCACTTAGGGATGGTGGTAGGATAATGGTATTCATAAGCTCCACTGAAGAGAAAAAAAAGAAGGGTTTTTTTAATTAAAAAAATTAAAATAATATTGATTTTTTTTGATTTGTCATATAAATTGCTTGGGAATTCATGATACTTCCCTGGATTATTTTGTCATAATAGAATAATTTATACCATTGAGTGTTTGTTAAAGCTCACATTAATAAGTTGGTGAGACTTTTGGGGGACAACTTCTAGTTACGAGTGTGTATATGTGTTTAATAGGTGTGGCAATCTAAAATGATGTACTTTGGGAGGACTCGGCTGTTGTTATTATATGTGTGGCTAATTTGTGTATAAAAGCAGCATTTTAAAGCACGATTCGGCATGAAATTATTTTCTGGCACCAAGAACAAGAGAGAGAACGGGCCTCAAACGCTTTTTCCTGTTAATAGACATAAACCAATAAGTAGTCCCTCTCTGGGACCTTCGGCTAGGCCAGCTGGACTAAACTTCTGAAACTATTTTCCAAATGTAAATATTACCCGAAGATGTAAAAACTATCAGATCTTTTATATACGAAGTGAAATGATCTTACCTGGTTGTAGTTTACACATGGAGATGAAGCTATTCATCTATCCACATTTTAATGCTGTTTTCCAAAACAGGAGCCCCATACTGGACAAACACAGAAAAGATGGAAAAACGGCTACATGCTGTTCCTGCGGCCAACACTGTCAAGTTTCGCTGCCCAGCTGGGGGGAATCCAACACCGACCATGAGGTGGCTGAAAAACGGAAAGGAATTTAAGCAGGAGCATCGCATCGGAGGCTACAAGGTAGAACTAAGCTTTCAAAATATTCTATTTCTTAAATTCCTGTTTATTTTAAAAAGTGCTTGAAAGTCAGCAGGAACTAGAAGGAATTTTTTTTAAAAAAATCAGTAATTATCATAATCGATCATGTCAATGTTTGATGTTTAAGAAAAGATTACCTTGGACTTGCTTGTAATTTTAAAGTGCAGTCTCCATTTGCATTGTTCTTTATGGGAGGAAAGTTTAATAACAGAAAGGTCGAAAGTTGAGAGTCTGTTTTCTATATGCTTTATAGTTTGTAAAACTAAAACTGGGGCGGAATTTGAGAAGCCTTAGTCCCGTTGCCGTGTTGGAGCAGGATTGCATGAATAGTGAATGGAGTTGGATTAGAGACTGGAGCACGAAATATTACTCATTAAGACAGAGCGGGTGGAAATGACAGAGGCCGTCCCTTGTCTTCCTTTTTCAAGGATTCTGAAGAGCCCGTCACACAGTGCCATGAAATTTAGCCTCATCACTCCCCGCGGAGTTTGAGACTGACAGCCGTCTCCCTACAGAGCGGGCATGCTCCTTCTAGCCTTTGCTCACCCATCCTGCAAACGTTGGTTGAGCACCTTCCATGCCAGGCGCCATCCCAGGCTCGAGCAGCTCCTAGTCCAGCAGGGGAGGCAGCAGGAGAGCTGGCCATGGGGGCAGTGATAGGGATACAGTCACAAGATCGTGTGCTGTCCCGCGGATGTGCAAGCAAAGGCGATGTTGGCTCTTTGGGAGAATAAGGATAAAGGGAAGGATTCTGGTCTGAGTTGGAAGGAAGTCTGTCTCAGAAAGAGAGAGAGAGAATCTCCCAAGTTTGTTACTATGGAAGTGGAGAACTTTAAGACTTTAACATATGAGGAAGACTTAGGGAAACCTTATTATGAAATTCATTGTTGCATTTGGAACATAAGTGGGCATATTAGCTACCTCTTGCTGCATAACAAATCACTCTGAGATGTGGTGGCTTTAAACAACATTTACGGTCTCACCATTTACTGGGTCAGGAATCCAGGTGTGGCTTAGCTGAGTCTTTCTTCTCCATCCAGGTCTCTCCTGGGACTGTGATCAAGGGTCAGTTCAGGCTGGGGTCTCATCTGAAGGACGCAGTGGGAGCCACCCACGTGGTTGCTGTCGGGATTCCTATCCTCGCAGGCTGTAGGACCAAAGGCCTCCGTTCTTCACGAGCTGTTAGTTGGAGGCCACCCATAGTTCCTTAGCACATGAGCCTCTCCCTAGGGTGGCTGATGGTGGCAGCTGCCACCAGGGTGAGCAAACAAGAGGAGCCAGAGAGAGAGAGAGAGAGAGAGAGAGTAGAGCAACACAGAAGTCACAGGCTTTTGTAACACAGTCATGAAAGGGACATCACTACTTTTGCATGTTTCTATCATTAAGCAAGTCACTAGGGAGGAGATTGCCCCAGGACATGAATGCTAGGGGACGTGGGGATCACTGGGCTCCATCTGGGGAAGCTGCACAGTGGGTAGAATGGAAGACACTTCAGCTTGGACCCCAGGTCTTTAAAAGCCAGGTGGGAGGGGATTTCTTGGTGGCAGCAGAGGGATGTCTGGAAGGACCGTGTCTGGTGTCAGTTCCAGCCTCACTTTAGATGTCAGGAAGCCCCACTCCATCCCTGCCTTTGGTAAATGAGCTTCCCCTCTACCCAAAAGTGCCCTAACGCCCTTTGCTGAAACACCATACAGAGTTATTCATCTTTAAAGGAGTATTTGCTTCTGCAAGGTGTTTGCCTTTTTGTTTTAACATTGAGGAAATAACATCTGGAGGTCAAAAGCCAGAGGAAAATGGGGAAAGCCTGTGAGTAAATTTCTAAGGGCAGGTAGGGGGCGGTTGATGTGTGAAACAGCCGTGAGGCCGATTTGCTGGCAGGTGGGCACCTTTGAAGCTTGGGAGTGGAAATGCTTTAGTTGGCGTCCACGACTCATACTTGTTGGTGGAACCAGGAGGCAGGGGAGGGATTTGCCCTTTTGTTCTTGGTTCGGTCCTTAGACCAGATACAATGAGATTGGAAGGTTGGCTCTTTTTAAAAAAGACAATTTTTCTTTGTTAATAACGAATAGACAAAGCTTTCACTGGGGATGCTGATTAGAAAGGAAGAGTTGTGCCACTAAAATCATGATTGCTGGAACCACCGCATGCTCTCTGAAAACTCACATAATTGATGCACTTCCAAAGATTTATCCAAATACAATCTAAGTGTGAGCATAGTGGTCAAAATCCTGGTGGTTAACTAATTTCTTCAATTAAGACAGCCTTGCAAATAGGTACAAAGAGAAATGCTGAGCCCCAGAGACTCCTGGTATCAAAATAAATGGAACTGGCATCATTATTCTGGGTAAGGAGCTTTTTGCAAATCTGAATTTGTGATTATAAATATGCTGGAAGACTAAGTGTGCCTAATGAGAAAATGCTGCTTGATTTTTAACAGGTGCAGTTCAGTTTTAATTATTTATGCCAACATCCTGCTAGATGAAGGGCTCCTATATTCTAAAAGCAAAATGAGGACCCCGCCCAACACAATGCCTTTAATGGCCTATCCCCGTGGAGCACAGACGACTGAAATGATTTTGTTGTGTCATATTTGAGTCGTTTCTGGAGTGAAAGAGAATTAGAGTTTGAGTATATGGGAACAAAAATTTTAAATATGCTTTGCTTTATGAAAAAAAGGCAAAAGGGGGAGAGTATGACACCTTGGGTATGGTGTGCTGGCTGTGACTGGGGTGAGTTTCTTATCCTCCCAGACTTTCTCTGCTGGACAAAGAGGCTGTGGCCCAGGGGCGGGGTGGCCTGGGAGGTCAGCTCGCCACACGCAGAGGTGGTTAACCTGGATTGAGTAAGGGGCTTTCACAACAGTATTGGCACTGGGCATTCGTTTGGGGCATGCTGGAAACTCTTAGAAATTCCGTAGTTACATAAAGCATAATCCTTGCTAATGAAGTGTTAAGCTAACCCCAGGTACCCAGGTCCTGAAGTCACTGGAGGTCAAAGAGGCCCATACCCACCTGCCGGCTTCCCCACGTGGCTCCGAGCACCCCGGCTGGCCCTGGGCTGCTTCCGTCCCACAGGGCAGAGTTCGGGGAGCATGGGCCTGGGGTTGGGCTTTCTCTTTGATATTTTCTTCATTACTTATGCACACTTTTAAAGAAATGTGCCTCCGAACATTTCACCCGAAGGACCTATAAATTGTACAATTTCTGCACTTTTCATTCTGTACAATTTCTGTACTTTTCATTCTTTAGCACTTCCCAAAAAGGAAAGAGACCTGATTGAAAATGTGAAGGGCCTGACATCTAAACAATCCACTCCTCCGATTCATGTCCACCTGCCACTTTATTTAAAGAAGAAGCAGGCTGGGTGCGGTGGCTCACGCCTGTAATCCTAGCACTCTGGGAGGCTGAGGCGGGCGGATCGCTCATGGTCAGGAGTTCGAAACCAGCCTGAGCAAGAGCCAGACCCCGTCTCTACTAAAAATAGAAAGAAAATTAATTGGCCAACTAAAATATATAGAAAAAATCAGTCGGGCATGGTGGCGCATGCCTGTAGTCCCAGCTACTCGGGAGGCTGAGGCAGGAGGATTGCTTGAGCCCAGGAGATTGAGGTTGCTGTGAGCTAGGCTGACGCCACGGCACTCTAGCCTGGGCAACAGAATTGAGACTCTGTCTCCAAAAAAAAAAGCAAAGTGTCAAGTTTTCCAAGATACATTTTTTTTTTCAGAAAGCAAAGACCCCAAAGCTTCTGCAAACAAACATTTATTTTTCTTTGTCCTTCATAAATCTCATTCCATAAACCACAACTGTGCTTTGGTGGTCTGTCCTTCTGGTTCTTTCTACCTGTTCATGGGTCGGGCACCTTGGCCCTCATCCCCTGAGTTACAGCTTATTTTGAAACGGTATGCATCTGTGGTCAATAAAGGGAGAAGGGAAAACCAAAAAAAGCAAAACAAAATCAGAGAGAATTATGAAATGGGACAGGAAGCTCATTTTAATTAAAATGGCCAATAGAACAATGTAGGGTCCTGCAGTTCAGTCTTGTTTATTAAAGAATTCATGCTGAGCCCTCTTAGGTGATTAAGAGTCAAATTATTATTCTTTTTAAGTATGTGGGCAAAGGCTGGTTGGATGTTATTAATGTGTAATTAATTTAATATAATCGTAAAGCTTGACTTGAGTCATGACTATATCTCCCCAATTGTCCTTATTCCCGGGCTTTTCCATCGGTTTTGACCATGGGTGAGCATTTAAGGCTCTGTGTGGCTCAGATCCCCTACCTTAAAACGAGAAGATTGGGAAAATAATCCTGAACATCTGATCCCTGCTAGCTCTAAGAACTATGATTTAAGAGCATAACCATAATTCAGCATCAGCCATTTTTCATCTTAAACAACAGCACACATTTTTTTTTTCTACAAAGAGGTTACCTTTATGGCTAGATATTTCATAGGACTCTGAACAGTTATTGCTATTTAATGCAGAAAAGCAAGAAGACCACTGAGATAATTAATAGACCACCTAAATTCCCAGCTCATTCTTAGGTAATGACTTAAGCAGGGGCGATTCTTAAAAACTATCTTTCACACCACTTTGAAGTGTACCAAGAACATAGACCAAAAGCAATCTCAGGATAACGGACTCTTCAACATGGCTGTGGAATCAGCACAAAAGCTCCCAGCACCATGTGTCCTAGGGCTCGATATTCCCACGAAGCCCCTTGGCAGAGAGCAAAGCGTTACGGAGGATGGGCCGCTGATTTCCAAGTCTGTTTCAGATAAGACAACTTAAAAAAATGTTTTGTTATCATCACTGCTAAACTGGTTTACATTTTCTAGGTTAGTTACTTAGATGTCATTTTAAAGACTTTCTGATGTAAATCCTATGCTTAACCTGCAAGTGTGTTTAGGGGACAGTCATGACTAACGTACTTACCGGCATATTTATACTTTCTTGAGATTTTTCTCAGCCAAGATGTTTTAGTCT